CCGCCTCCTCCGCCGCATCCTCCGCCGTTACCTCCTCCATTGCAAGGTGATGGAGGTGGAGGGCAGCATGGAGCTGGTGGTGGAGCAGGTGGAGGGCAGCAAGGAGCAGGAGCGGGAGCGGGGCTGTAACGAATTTCAGGTGTAAACTCATTACTAGGAAAAACAAATGTGATATACTTACCAGCAACTGCTTCCACCACCACCTCCTCCGAGCAAACCGAAGCCGAATGCATCGGAAGCAGCGAAAAAGGCAAATGCCACTACAGCGTACTTGATCATACTGAAAATTGAACAATTGCGAATAGCAACAAAGTAAAACTCAGAAGAATTCAAACAACTTTTAAGAAATGCCAAGCAGGCGAAAAGATGCTTTTGCTACCTTGGAATGATTGTTCCTTGGTGGGATAATTTGCAGCTGTGCTCCCAGATTTTATAGTGGCCATAGAAGTCTTTCGATCCGCGCAAAACTCAAACTATGCGGGTTTTTTTCCTTGTCGAATGTAAGCGTAAACCCGTAGAAGCGCAGATTATGCGTTCCGATTGCTGTGGTTTTATCTATTATCGCCTATCTCGCCCAATTTAAGCCTTCAATTTTTAAATGTTTTTAGCGAGCAAGCTGTGCTTATTTTGGATCATTTTTATGAAGAAAAAGTATGTGTAATTGTTTTGACTTGCTCTGCTCAATGAGTGTATAACCGGTTACAAAGAATAATAAAACTTGAATAGCTTGAGATGTTGCACTAGAGATGAAATATATGCAAACTTTGATGGTGCTGAATTGCATCTGCTACATCTAGTATTTAATCAATCTAATTTAACACACTGTAATTCTTCCTGCGGATTATCATAATTTGATAATTTTTGTGTGAAAACAGTCATCGTTTTCTTCATACAACGACTTTTTGGAATTGAGGAATTATACACTAACATTGCATGACAAAGTCTAATTTGTGTTAAATCTCATTTCAAATAATTTCGAGATGTGGTCGACAAGGATACTTGGTGATCGTGGCTTCTCAAAATAAGAGACCTAATTGAAGGTATCTTGAACGCTAGCTCATCCTTTCTTACATA